GGCCTCCGTCCGATGCGTCTGGGGGCCTTGATGGCCGCAACAAAAATGCGACGACGACGACGACGACGACGACGAGGATGTCTTCGTGTGGGCGTCTACGTATAGAAGAAGTGATTCAGTGGATGGCTCGGTGAGGAGCAAAAGGAGAGATCGTACGCGATCGCACGCGCGTTTTCTGCCTCTCGGCGACGCACGTGAATCGTGCGGCTATGAATAAACGCGATCGTTTCTTCGGTTGAATGAAGACGGTCTTTTTTCTCTCTTTCTCTCTTCGCTCTTTTTCCTTCATAGGTTCTCCTGTTCTTTGTTTCCTTTTTCTTTTTCTTTCGAGAATTGGCTCGAAGCGTTGATCGCGCGTAACGATTTTCTCGATAGTTGATTAAAGTTGGAAAGTGTACGTTTCGTTGTACTCGATCTTTACACCGGATACAAAATACAGATGTTCGATTTATTTATTAATACATGAAAAGAGAAACGAAGTAATATATCGAACATTGCGTAACTTTTTTAACTTGAGAGAAGGATGTTGTTATATGTGAACGAGATTAAAAATCAAGTTAGACGATATTGTGCAATTTTGCCAAAAGAAAATCCACGCTTTCTATCCTTTCAACTCGGCCTGGTTGCGTGAAATATCCTGTATGCGCATACCGCGAATTCTCCGATGAAATCTATGCGAATTCCAAAATGGTTGTCTAATAATATGATTGTACGAAGGCAAAATTGCTTTTGGAAGCCATTGGCCTAGAAAATCTGTTTTTCTTCCGGGGCCAAAGTACCCGCCCATCCCCCAAATCCCCTTTGATTTATCGCGTTAATAATAACGCGTGCGATAATGATTTAATGGATCCGAAATAATGATTTGCAATATGTATTCGTTTCCTTTCGATTAATTTTTGATTAATATTCACAGTTTGAGAGAATTTTATTAATATGTGTACACGATTTGTCGTAAAATTATCGTAAAAAGTATCATTTTCGCTAAAAATAAATACACGTGATTATAGAATGCATGTAATTTCGTGTTATGTCTATTTATTCTTCGAGGCGTAGAAACATAAGTAGAAGTAATAAACAATCTGGCATTGATAAATTGCAAGGGGGGCAAGAGGTTAGAGAAACTTATCCTTAATTTGTTTTTTCTAAATATTATGATTGGAAGACATCCATCCTATGATTTCCCTTTAAGCATAAAACTCGTATATCATAGAGGCTAGAGATTTTTCTATCGCGGATATCGTTAAATTTTAACACGTCTCAATCTTTCCCCTCCTCCTACATCTCTCTCATCGCCATTTTCTTTTCGTTTAAGAATAATATAACCAGTGATAAAATAATCGGATAACTCGAGCATCCTCGAACGAAGAAGAGATCCCCTTTAACGTCTTGAACTCGGATAGGGAGGGGAGAGGGTGGCCGTGTATATCAATAATTTATTCCCCTAGAAACGGTAGCGATTTTTCCAACGCGTCAGCAATACTTTTACCCTCTCCCTCCTCCTTACATTTTTCACGCTGCACCTCCTCTCTCTCTCTCTTTTCCTCGTGCTGCTAATAACCCCTCTATTTCCTTCCTTCTCCAACACTTTTACGTCTCGCGACTTCTTCTCAAACATCCGCAAAGTTTCGATTTTCATTGAAGAATCTTCGAATGATAAATTAAAATGGAAAATGTTGCTAAATAACATAAATTTAAGAATTTCTTTTTATTTTTTACCGAGTTGTAATATTCAAGGAATTTTTGAAAGTTCTACCTCTTCAATCTCAATTTAACAAAATATCCAGCATAGATAATTCTCGAGAATGATTATCACATTTAACATTTTTCTTCCACTCGAAAAAATTCAAATTCGTAATACGAATCGTAATGTAAATGAATTAAGATGTAACAAGGGATGAAGGGGGGGGGGGGAAATTACTTTTCC